CATTATCTCTACGGGGAGACATGTCACATTTTTACAGACCATAAGAGCTTGAAGTACGTATTCACTCAGAAAGAGTTGAATATGAGACAGAGGAGATGGATGGAGTTGATCAAGGACTATGACTTGATCATCGATTACCATCCAAGAAAGGCCAACGTCGTGGCCGACGCACTGAGCAGAAAGAGTACGTCGGGGACGCTACTCACATGTCTACAGGCATTGAGGGCGCGCGTGGAGGTGTCCACGTGCGGGGATCTCATTGCTCGATTCGAGGTTAGGCCCACCCTATTGGGCGAGATTAGTCGAAGTCAGGCCATTGATGAGGAATGTCAGAAGATCCGTGAAAGGATCCTTGAAGGACCCGTTGAGAACTTCCGAGTACGTGATGACGGTCTATTATTGTTTAAGGATCGTGTATGCATACCAAAGAATGAAGACCTCCAGAAGTCCATACTTGAGGAGGCTCATTCTTCAGCTTATGTTATGCATCCAGGAGGTACTAAGATGTACCGAGATTTGAAGGAGAGTTACTGGTGGTCAGGTATGAAGAGAGACATCGCAGAATATGTGAGTCGGTGCCTTACTTGCCAGCAAGTTAAGGCAGAGCATCAGCACCCAGCAGGGCTTTTGCAACCACTTACCATCCCGGAGTGGAAGTGGGAGCACGTGACCATGGACTTCGTGGTGGGGCTACCACGAACAGTGAACAACTATGACGCAGTATGGGTAGTGGTTGATAGGCTCACCAAGAGTGCACACTTTTTGCCTATCAACATTACTTATCCTCTTGAAAGATTGGCCAAGCTATACACGGAGGAGATTGTGAGATTACATGGAGTCCCAATATCCATTGTCTCGGATAGGGATCCACGATTCACATCCCGATTTTGGCCAAAGTTTCAAGCATCGTTGGGTACTAAACTGATGTTTAGCACAGCTTTTCACCCACAGACGGATGGACAGTCTGAACGGGTGATACAGATTTTGGAAGACATGCTTAGGGCATGTGCGCTGGAGTTCCAAGGAAGTTGGGACAAGCATTTGGCCCTAGTGGAGTTTGCTTATAACAACAGTTATCAAGCAAGTATCGGCATGCCTCCATATGAGGCATTGTATGGGAGGAAATGCAGAACACCGTTGTGTTGGGACGAGGTTGGCGAGGCCAAACTCGAAGGGATAGAGCTGGTTGAGATCACCAAGGCCATGGTAAGGATCATTCGGGATAGATTGAAGGCTGCTCAGGACCGACAGAAGAGTTATGCTGATAAACGGCGGAGACCGTTGGAGTTCGAAGTCGGTGATGAGGTCTTCCTAAGGATTTCTCCTTGGAAGGGCATCATTCGATTTGTATCGAGGGGAAAGCTTAACCCCCGATACATTGGTCCATTTGAGATCCTTGAAAGGATTGGAGCCGTGGCTTATCGTCTCAAGTTAACGCCGGAACTTGAGAAGATACATGATGTGTTTCATGTATCAATGCTCAAGAAGTACATACGGGATCCCTCTCATATTCTTGAGAAACCGCCGGTAGAGATCCGTGAGGATTTGCAATATGCGGTAGAGCCGGTGAAGATAGTAGGTCAACAAGTGAAGAAACTTAGGAACAAGGAGATTCCTATGGTAAAGGTTCTTTGGAGGAGTGATCGAGTCGAAGAGGAAACTTGGGAGACCGAGGTCTCAATGAGGGAGCAATACCCATTCCTTTTCGATTAGACACGTGGATTTCGGGGACGAAATCCCAAATAAGGGGGGGTGAACTTGTAACACCGTCCCCAAATGTATTTACTTTTACGTAAATGATGTAATAAACCTTATGGAATGATTTATGAATTTACGAAGTTGTAAATTTTTATTAATTCTTTCGCGTGAATAGTAAATTGCATGTGGGACCCACACCGGGAGCGGGGGCCGCCCGACATTCCCGAGACCATATATTTTATTCATCTTGGTCTAGATAATAAATATATAGTGGTGGATATTTCATTTGGGCCATGGAAAGGCCCGGAGTTGACCGATTGGTCAAAAGAAGCCCAAATTACCGGTACTGGTAATTTAACAGATAACAGCCCGGACTGAATTTCGGAGACTTATAAATTAAAGTTGGGGAATGTATATTCATTATACATGTCATAATGAGTAAGAGCACATAATATATTTTATTTGACCCGATAAAATAAAATATATTTAAAACAGTCCGAAAAAATACAACTTTCGGGACCGATTGTACACATCGGGACACAAAGGGATGACCTCCCACATGAGTGGGGGCCACCCCACGTTTTTATGTGCTAAACACATCAATTGAGGGCTGGGTTGACAAGAGGAAATGAGGAGGAGATGCATTTGGCATCAAAGGTACAATGGGGAGGACCCATTCCCACATTATTTTGAGAGAAAAGCCAAAGAGGCTATCTCCTCACTCACCCACCCCATAATTTCGACCAACCTATCAAAGGAGGAGGAAGAGGGAGCTCTCAAGCTATTCTCCATTGCTGCAACTCGAGCTCAAGTAAGAGTGGTCCAAGGAGGGGAATTAAAGAAGGGAAAAAGTGAGGAAAAGGGTGTAAAATTAAGGTAATGACCTTATTATAACTTTTCCTTTATTTTTCTTCTACCATATAAGATATATATCATGTGAAGGATCCTTAAGAGGGTTCTACATGTTATAAGTATGGATTTATGGGTTGGAAAGTGATTCTATGTCCAAGAACGGACTTAGAAGCCAAAACGACCGGTTCACCGGAAAATAACCTTTTTGAGGTTATTTGTATTAACATGGGTTTTATGATTATAAAACCTTGTTAGGCACTTGTAAAGGGTATTTCAAGTGGTTTCACAAAGTTGGAAAAGTCGCCGGAGTTGTCGCCGGAGTTGACCAAAAGTCGCCGGAGTTTCACCGGAGTTCAACCAAGGAGGGTAGAACTTCATAACGCTAGTTCAAGGTGAGTGGACGGCTTAATATCTTATAACTTTTGGGTTAATTATGAGATTACCTAAATAAATGTTATATGAGTTCATAATGATGTTTAAAAGATATTTAAACATGTGATTAGCCAATAGGGTTAAGTTTGTATGAAAGAAATAAATGATTTATGCATGGAATATGATATGAGGAATTACATAAAATGCATATTTGTTTGAAATATATAAGAAGCACCAAATGAATATTATCAATTTAATTACATGATGATTAAGTTGATAAGTGTAAGACTTGAAATGGCGGTCAACGACACCGTTGACCGGTGGATAATGGATTAATTAATATCGGTTGATATTAGTTAATTATACATTTAAAGAATCGCATGGCTTTGCATGGATTGTGATACATAAGCTTTATGTATTGAATTAGTTATGAGTAACTAAGTATGATATAGACTCTATCTAGGTTGATAGAAGGTTGATCATAGGAAAATATTTTGGTGGAGGACCCTAGTACTCAAAAGTACTTAACACTCAAAATTTGGTGGAGGACCCTAGGACTTAAAGTCCTTAACACTCGGATTATAAATTGGTGGAGGACCCTAGGACTTAAAGTCCTTAACACTCGGATTATAAATTGGTGGAGGACCCTAGTACTTAAAAGTACTTAACACTCGAAACTTGGTGGAGGACCCTAGTACTTAAAAGTACTTAACACTCAAAACTTGGTGGAGGACCCTAGTACTTAAAAGTACTTAACACTCAAAACTTGGTGGAGGACCCTAGGACTTATGAGTCCTTAACACTCGCAAACCGGTGGAGTACCCAAGGATTATGATCCTCAAAACTCATAGATTATGATATTGAAATAGGGACAAGGAGGAGTCCTATACACTCATAGGTGTATGGGTGGGTTGGGGTTTTTAGTCAAGAATATTGACTATTACTATTTTTCCCAAATAAAACGGTGATCTACGGATCGGATATTTTCCAAGTATATATATACTAGTAAGTATTTCATAACTTGGGGGAAGACTATTTATTTAAGTATCACCCTATGTTTGGGTCTTATACTTGAAACGCTAGTTATTCTATATTTAGCCTGCTACTCGCTCAGTACTTGTACTGACCCCTTCGGGGGCCCCCACCATTTTCAGGTTGAAGCTAGAGCTTGCTACTTGCACCTTCTCGCGGGTGATATCACATCAGGAAGACGTGGTTCGTGCTTCCTTATTTTCTTTCAAACTACCGAACACTTGCTCATGGATATTTGTTCTACAATAAACTATTTTTTGGGGCTTGCATGCCCATGTTGTTGGCCGGCTGTGGCCTATGACTTACCGTTGAATATTTCCGCTATTCATTGGTTTAAATGTGATGTTGTTATGTATGTTTACTACTGAGTATGGATGGATTGTTTTCTCGAACGCCTTGTGTAATTAAGTGAGGTTGACTCGTGGGTGACGTCACTTAGTTATACGGCGGTTGTACACGCGCTTGGATTGCGGTCCGGGGCGTGACACATGGAGGTATTGTCAAGACAATGAATGGGGTGGGCAGTACTTGGGAGGAGCCTTATGCGCATCATAGGCTATGTATCTGTCATCTTGCATCAAATGTGCACACTCATTTCAAAGACATTCATCTAAAAAATCTTTTTGTCTGGACCGCACGACAACATCAGAAAAAGAAATTTGATGGTGGGTTCAAGAAGATAGGTGAAATGAATTTGGAGGCACAACACTTTTTGGCCAACATTCCCCCGGAAATGTGGTCACTGCACCGCGATGGCGGGTACAGATACGGTACCATCGCTTCTAATCTGGCAGAGGTTTTCAATAGCGTCATGAAAAATGCCAGATATTTGCCCATCACCGCCTTGGTCCAGGTTTCTTTTTACCGGGTTAATGTTTATTTTGTTAATAGGCGTGAAACCAATAAAATGAGGCTCACACAAGGCCACGAGTACTCCCCACACATCACAGATTTAATTGATAAAAATAGAGAGAAGGCAAGGCATCACAGTGTCACTCCATTTGATTTAGGCCGAGGTATATTTCAAGTGGAAACCGGCTGTGGTGGCCGAACGTTGGGAAAGGGTGGGAGAAAACAAACTGTCCATCTACAACGGAAAACTTGCACTTGTAAAAAGATGGAGATATATAAGATTCCATGCTCCCATGTGTTAGCCGTGTGTAGACAACGTAGTTTGTCTTATGCTCCATTTGTGGATAAGTTTTTCTCATCTGACCAATACGCCGCCACTTATCATAGAGTCTTCAAACCGATTCCTGATCGTGATTATTGGCCTACTTACAATGGACCCGAAATCGTGCACGATCCATCCATGCTTTGGGCTAAGGGAAGACCAAATCCGACACGTGCGAAGAGATCGTCTAGACACGAGGGGGGTCCGCTGGGTAAGGTTTTATTTAGAGTCAATCACAATTCATGTTTTCGTTGCAAGAAAAAATAATAATTTCAAAAAAGGATGTCAAGAAAAAGAATTAATATATTATTGAATAATAACTAATACAATTTTGTTTGTTTGTAGGCATGGAGGTGACAGCGGATCCTGGGCCGAGTGATCGTTCTGTCTTGACATTGCAGGCCTCGCACAGGAGTGAGGATGTTTGGCTTGGCATGGATGTTTAGGTGGATAGGTGTCGCGAGCACCTGTGGAGTTTGTCGCATTTGCACGGCGACGACAGAGTACTAGCCTATGTTGGTGCTGCGGGTTTTTATACTCTGCACAGATTAGTGGCTACTGTGCCTCTAGATAGAGCGCTTCTCACTGCTCTACTTGAGCGTTGGAGGCAGGAGACACACTCATTTCACCTCCCTGTTGGTGAGGTGACAGTGACATTGGGAGATGTTGTTGTACTTACTGGGTTAGAGGTTCATGGGAGAGCTGTTACAGGCACTGCTTGTCGACAGTGGGTAGATGAGTGTGAGCGGTTATTAGGTATCTGCCCCGTTCTTAGGACTGACCTTCAGGGGTCATCTCTGAGGATGCCATGGTTGAGGGAGCACTTCCAGGTGCTTCCTCCATACGCTGATGAGGTGATGATCCAGCAGCATGCCCGGGCATATATATTGATGATGATGGGAGCCTCCATTGTCGCTGACAAGAGCGGAAATGAGATTCAGGTGATGCACTTGCCTTTGCTAGAGAGGTTTGATGTAGCAGCACAGTTCAGCTGGGGTAGTGCCACACTGGCTTATCTGTACAGACAGCTTTGTCGCGGCTACCAGAGAGGGAGCACAGAGCTTGGGGGATTTTTGCTACTCCTCCAGATTTGGTCATGGGAGTATATCCACATTGGGCGTCCCATTATAATCGCATATCATGGCATTGATGGACACCCACTCCATGATGAGCCTCCACGTCTTCTAGGACCACATCATGTACGGGGCGAGGACCCTCTAGGCCGTCAGTATGTTTTCAATCGTTGGTATTTATGTGATTGTATGTTGAGTGTAAATATATTAATAATATTCATATTAATGATACTGTTACATGAATCGTTAGATGGCTATATGCTGGTCTATCTCGCATGTCATACGCTACTGGACTCGGTGTGTACAGGGATGCATTTGATCGGATGTCCGAGGATCAGGTATGGTGTGGGTAATATAACACTAACTATAATATGTATAGAAAATCTCCTAATTTTGTATCTTTATGAAACAGATTACATGGATGCCGTTTACACCTGAGATGTTAGCATAGTTGCCCCCAGCTGGACGAGAGCATACTCACATATGACGAGCACGTGTGCCGTTGATATGTTTTGACATTGTTGAGCTTCATTTGCCTGATAGAGTGTTGCGACAGTTTGGGTTTGAGCAGGTCATTCCACGGCCTATCGACACTTATGTTGAGCTGCATAGGCTGGATAGGCGTGGGAAGCATACATAGGATCGGGCACTCAGACATGTCCGATACGTCACTATGTGGGAAAGGCGAGCGGAGCTAGTTGCGGCTGGGACACCGACATTTGTCTCATCTGTTTCAGGAGACTACATGGGATGGTGTTACAGCATCACTCGTTTGTTTGTGTCTCCTTCGTTCAGACTCCCTACTCATCATTATCAGCCTAGCTCCTTGGCTTTGCATCTTATGGCGAGTATATTAGTAATTAGTAAAGTAAGTCATTTTATTTATGTAATAATTGTATGTATTTTAATGTAATTGTAATTGTGTTTCATATTTCAGACACGAGCTTTGCAGCGCATACATCAGCGGGCTACTGCCACAGTGACTGATAGTCATGATGTGGACATGTATGGACAGGCTCTGACAGGCATTGCCTCCTTATGTTCAGATGTGGTGGGGCAAGTCGACTACGACCATCTTATACACATGCCCTCATCTCAGGAGATGCCATCCACGTCTAGTGCAGTGGTGGCTTCATCATCCCAGACGCAGCATGAGAGAGTGGTTCTTCAACCACGACAACGACGTAGGCGTAGACATGAGCAGCAACATCTCCATGACGAAGCTGACGATGCGAACTTGCAGTTTGTCTTTTGTATTGCAGTTTTTCTTATACAGTAGATGTTGTAGGAACAATTTACAACATTTTATGTATTTTCTCTTGTAAATTCTTGTATGTTGTCTTGATGTGTTCGAGTATGAATATTAGATGATTAGTTGTTATGAATATTGGATGATTGTACTGTGTTATACCGGTTATGAATGTAAGGTTTTGTATTTGATTTTTAAAGGCTATTTACAAGGTGTTTTTTATGTTGTTGAGAGTAGGTGTTATGTATGTGATTGTGAAGACGTGCGTTGTAAGTTTTATAATGTGTTGTATCTGGCTCGTAACACTTAAACAGGAGAAGAGAGACTTTATTTATAGCAAACAGATGAGTCTGGGTTGAACTGGGGCGAAAAACATGCTGAAATTCTGTTTTCGGACTTAGGCACGATCGTGCGTACCCTGGGACGCATGATCGTGCGTGGCTGGTAGTAGCTGCTGGCCTTGCACATATACAAGGGGTAAGTTGCCCAACGGTTGGGCGACTTATAAGTCACCAAACGGTTTGACGACTTATAAGTCGCCCAACGGTTGGGCGACTTCCCCCTTACCGTGGTTAAGGCCAACAGTAGATCGGTAATAACTTTTTTCCCAGCATTATTTTCGTAAATAATTAATTAATTAACATTAATTCGAAAAAAACTCTGATGATGATATCAGATTTAGAATACGAAGTATTATATACAGAGTACTATACATACGAATATTTTTGGTTTTAAGTTGTTATTATATGCACCAGTAAACTCACTCGTGTGATGCACGGTTTGAGAATTTTTCTATCAAATCACATTATCAATTAATGACAACATTAAATGATATTATGGTCAAACTGAGATACATCGAAGCATTAAATGAAACACACTTATAATATTATGGTCAAACTGAGAGTACTAAGCATTACTTAAAAGATTACAAACATCCAACAAATACGTTGAAACCATAACATTGTAAATATGCATTTAATGTAAACCTAAACATTGTTGAACACTTATTTGAATACAACATTCTGAGTCATGTCAGTGATTTCTTCATCTTTATCAACAGTTAGAATTTTTAAACCACAACGATTGGTAACCCTTGATACTGCAACATACAACTAACCATATGTAAATACCGTTTTTTTTCAACAACAACCCAACACGGGACAAAGATTGACCTTGACTTTTATTTATTGTATGTATCACGCACTATAATGTTTTTACAGTATGTATCACGCACTATAATGTCGATTGGTTATTATTAACCCAACCACACAAAGTTGAATATGACTAAAAAAGGCATTTTCAACAACAAAACCAATGTGTCACAATGACTGCTAACATTTGAAGTTGTTAATAGGAATGCTTAGGAATCAACACATTTTATCTCGCACTAACTTATGTCAAAATCATTTCTTTTAGTGAACCAAGCATTCCAGCCCAACTGGTTGTGAGGTTACTGTGTCTAGTGGGAGGTCTCGAGTTCGAATCCCGCTAGGCACACAAGGGTTGGAAAGTCAATGGATTAAGTTTCAGTCCTGATTACTCCAGGCTCCCCCCCCAGACCCCCCTGGAGTAAAAAAACATTTCTTTTAGTGAAATGTTTTGCTAGTAATTCACCTTGGGAAGCACTAATGATTTTGTCATTTTTTTTTCATTTTCAAAGGTTTATATAAATTAATTGAAGGTAAATTGTTTAGATGGATTGTCTCTCCAAACAGGTAAAATAAGAGAGTAAAATATGTGAAAGTGTGTTATGTCATTCTTGAATTATACTTGAATCTAAATTTGTGGGGAAATGTTCAAATAGGTGCTTCTACTATTTCTAATATCCAAGTATGGTCTGGTCTGGTTTGTTTAAATTTGGGTTGGTCTGAGACTGAAATAAGTCGTCTAAGTATAAACATCTGAAGTAATATGGTGACTATGCATTTATACGAATTGCATTTTTTAAACGAATTGCCCTGGTAAATTGGCAAATCGGGGGGTGCAAATATGTGAAAGTGTGTTATGGTATTATTAAACAATACTTAAATATGAATTTGTGAGAAATTGTTAGTTAAGTCCGTATATGAAAAGTAATGCTATCATTTAAGCACAATAACTTTCAAAACACATTCAATGGGTAGAATCTATAGTAGTTCTTAATTCAAAAATAAGTACAACTCCAGTGGATGCTCGGTTGGTGAAATTTAAATGGGGAAAAAGGGTCAAATACACCCCTCTACTACTCTGAAAAAATCACCTGAACCCATATACTAAAAAAAACGTCATAGAAGTCCATTTACTTCTAAAAACCCATCAAATGAACCCATTGACCGGAAAACAACTGCTTATAGCAAGTTGCTGACACATTAAACATATAATCTATTCGCTCCTTTATTTACTCATGCGGTCCCACCATCCCTATAGTTGTTTTTTCTCTTTGCTTGAGTTACACCTGCGGTCCCACCATCCCTAGAGTAGTTCTTTTTTCGTTTATTTTCTTGGAATTTTCCTTGGTGTACACAAATTGTATACACCTTTGGTACCCCATATAAATACATCTTATTTTTACCATTCTTTACCCCCCAAAATTCTCCCCTCTCTCTCACAGCTCCCTCCTCCCTCCCCTGCGCTGAATTATTTCCGCCCCAAAAAAATCGGGTGCCACATCCGAGCTAGCTATGTACGGACGAACGACGGAAGAGTTTCTTCCTTCATCTTCTCTGTTGAAACTCTTCTCAATGGATCCAAATAAGTGGGTTGATGACTTACTCTTGGATAGCTTCACTTTTGGAGAGCTAGGTAATGAAGGTGCAGACCATGGTGGTACGGCAGTTGTCGTTGAACTGGATGGTAGGTGAAGGGATGACGATGAACAAGGTGCAGAGGTCGAAGGCTTGAGTATGTGTTGTTGTTTTGGTTTTGTTATCTTGATTTTCTTGATTTTGGTTTCTTGAATTTTTGGTGTATTTTGGATATGAAAGGGGTTGTTTGTCTAACAGAGAAGTTTTTAGTGTAGTGTTTGTCTACTACACAAGGGGTTTCATAGTTGTTTGACCCCATATGTAAATTGTCTGTCTGACAGGC